TGGGATGGGATGGGATCCATGGGAATGGGAATGGGAATGGGAATGGGATGGGATGGGAATGGGAATGGGAATGGGAATGGGAATGGGAATGGGAATGGGAATGGGAATGGGATGGGATGGGATGGGATAGGATAATGGGATGGGATGGGAATGGGAATGGGAATGGGAATGGGAATGGGAATGGGAATGGGATGGGAATGGGAATGGGAATGGAAATGGGAATTGTCCCCTGCCAGAGCTGCGTTCCCTGCCCAGCTCCGTTCCCTTTTCGCTGTTAATTAGGCCGCTGTCAATTAGGCCGAGGCTCTCCCGAGCCCTGCAGAGGTGGCAGGGGCAGGGCTGGGAACAAAGCAGCGCCCAGGGTTTCAAAGGGAGCAGCGGGAGAAGGGCCCCGGCTCCCCTGGAGTTGCTGCCCCGCTGGGATGGAGCCGATGGCTTTCACCCTCCAGCGCTGGGGTCAGGAGGGGACGGGGCTGGAGCTGATGTGGAGGAGCCGTGGGCAATCCTGGCACCTCCCCGAGGATCCCGTTTGCTTCAGAGCTCCTCCGAACCCCTCGGACCTGGAAATCAGCTGGATTTGGGCTGTCCCGGGAGAATTCCGGAATGCACCCCTGGGAAAAGCCGTGGGTGTGCGGTGGCACGGAGCAGGGAGAGGATTTATGTGTGTTTTGTTCTGTGTTCTGTGAAGAAAAGCCACGGGCTGTGAGGCCCACAGCACACAGGAAAATCGGGGATTTTTGGTTTTATTTTTTGTTTTTCCACGGAGCCAAAGAGCAGAACTGAACTCCCAAGTGACACAGAGTTCTTCCTCAGAAGGAAGGCCGAATATCTCCAATGTGCTTTTCTTTTTAAAACTATTTCTTTTCACAAAATGCTTCTTCACCCCCAAGATTTTTCTCCTCTGGGGCCAAGGCAACTTTTGGGTGTGAAGATCCTGGGCTGGGCCACCTATTCCTTCAAAAATCCATTTTTCCTCCATTGTCTCACTCGAGTTACACTAAAACCAGGAAAACCATCAGCCAGAAAAGCTCTTTTTGATATTTCCCCCTGCCGTACCACACCTCCATCTCCCCGAAGTGAAGCCTGAACCCCAGTTATCCCGCCGGGAGTCAGCAGCAGGAGCTGGGGCTCAGCCCCGGGAGGAGCAGCGAGGTGAGCCCGGCTCTCCCCCAGCCCCTCCTCGGAGAACTTTGGGCTGGAGAATGTTGAGCTGAGCTACTCCCACCGGCCGGGCCCTCCCCCTGCCCCATCAGGCTCTACCTTTTCTCCTCTCCCCAGGACTCAGCCTCGCAGTCCCTTCTGCTCCGCTAAACAAAGGAGCTCTGGGCACATCACCAGCTCCACCACTCCAAGGTATTTCACCGCTTTCCTCCTCCCTCCGGAGCTGCACAGCTGATTTCTTTCTCTTTAGCCCTTCCTTTCTCTGTTTCATTGCTTCTTGAATACTTTATTTTATTTATTTTATTTTAATTGATTCGATTTCACACTCGCAGGCTTGCACTGGAAATGTTTTCCTGCTTCTTTCCCCCAAAAAAATCTGATTTTTAGGGCTCGGTTCTCTCATTGCTTTCTCGGTGCCTTTCTCAAAGTGGGGTTTGCTGGAATTTCTCAGCGCTGAAAAGAACTTTTGGAGGCTTTTATTCCATTGAAGCTGCGACTCTCTGGCGGCTGTAAATGACTTTTCCATGCCTGTGCGAGCTCTCGGGGAATGTCCCGTGTGTCGATCATTTGTCAGGCTCCTCATCCCCCCGCGGGGAAATGGATGCAGCTGGAATTCCTCCTCTTTAAATCTCCGCACTGCCACACTTTGAATGGTTCTTTTTGCCACTTTTTCCCCCCGTCCTTGTGCCCCGTTCCTGGGGAGCTGCGGGACAGGGAACACTTCTCCTTTTGTGTGTCTGGAGATAAGCGGAGCCCGGCGCAGCTCGGGGGGCTGCAGGGAGGGCAATTTTCTTTGTCTCCTTTCCCCTTCCCTCTCTCCTCGCTCACTGCGTTTGAAACCTTAGAGCCTGAAAAATTCCTGCCCTCAAGAGCTGAGACATTCCCAGCTGGGACGCTGCGAGCAGCGAGGGAAATTGAGCTTTTAATTATTTCTAATTATTTTAAAAGGATTTTTTGGGTTTGGGTTTTTCTTTTTTTGGTTTTTTTTTTTGTTTTTTTTGGTTTTGGGGTTTCTTTGTTGGGATTTTTTGGGGGATTTTTTTTTTTTGTTGGTTTTTTTTTGGTTCAGACACATTTTCTGTCCTGTCTGGGCTGATTTTCGGGGCTGGGCTGGCCCGGGAGAGCTGCAGTGGGAGAGCAGGGGGGACAGTCAGGGGGGGCTCGGGGGCCTCTCCTTCCCCACCCGGGGCCTCTCGCAGCACGGATTGTTCCCACTCCGGGCCACTTCCAGCTCCTCACTCCTGGAACACCAAATTTTGGGGGTGTCGAGGTGAGAGCTGCATCCCGAGCCGCTGCTGGCCGGCAGGAGGAGGAGGAGGAGGAGGAGGAGGAGGAAGGATGGAGGAACAGCTGGGGGATTTGGGAATGTTCCCCTGGGGATGGGGTTGGATCCTTTTTTGGAGCCTTTCCCTCGGGATTTCTCATCCCCCCGCTGGTCCCAGCCTTGCCTCCCCCCAGCCCGTCCCGGGGGGGTGGGTGCGGTGCCAGGGGCTGTCCCCATGCCGGGACAGGAGTGTCCCCCCTGCACGGCAGGGCTGCTCCAGAAACTCCAGCTGCTCTTTCCTCACCTTCTCCTCTCGCCCGGAGGACTTGGGGCGCTCTTTGTTCCTCCATCAGGAGAATAAAAGTGAGGCAGAACCACAAGTCTTGGACACCTCCCGCTTTTCCAGCTGTCGGGAAAGAGGGGTTTGGCAGCGCTGGGGGCTGGCACAGGGAGCAGAGGGGGCACTGAGCCCCTGCACCCGCTCCAGGAGGGGCTGCCAGGGACTCCCAAACCCGCAAAGTCCTTAAAAATCTATTTCCCCCTCTTTTCCTTCCAGAAAGGGAACTCCAGGACGGGTCCTCGGCACCCGGGGGCTGCTGCCAGAATCCATCCTCCTCCTCCTCCCCGGGCAGCCGGGACCCTGCGGCCGGCCAGAGCTGCCGGGGGCGCTCGGAAGCGGGGCCAGCATGGGGCAAGTGTGGCTGGCCAGGCTCCTGCTGGGCTGCTCGGCCGTGCTGGCCGTGGCACCGGCACGGGGACAGTACGAGGGGGACTTGCAGACGGACAGGCTGGCAGCCTTCGAGGAGAGACCCCCGAGCAGGGTGAGGAGAAGGGGCCAGGACTCGCTGCGAGGGTGAGTTGCAGTTCTCGTCTCTCCGGTGCAGCGGGTTTGGGGTTGGCAGCAGAGCAGAAGGAGCTGGGTTGGCAGGATTGGCCATTCCCCAGCTCGGGAAGGAGCTGGAGCTGCAGGAGGGCAGCTCCTGGCACCGGGGACAGCCGGGGGCGATCCCACGGGAGCAGCGCTGGGCACCGAGCGCCCTTTGGGGTCACCTGCAGAGCCCCCACACCCTCTTTGTGTTCCCTGCGAGGGTGGGCACGGAATTCCCAGACGAGCCGTGGATTTGCTGTGGGTTTCCCATCCCTGGAGCATCCCGGGGGCGGTGGAAGGTGGCCCTGATGGGCTCTGAGCTCCCTTCCAGCCCGAGCCATCCCGTGCCCTGTGGGGTGCTGCCAGCTCGGGGTTTGGCCCTGGAGTCCCTCTGGTCCCCGCAGCTGCCGGGGGGGTTTCACCCCTGGGCTCTGCTCGGTCCCTCGGGGCAGCTCCTGCTCCTCCCCAAATTCCTCACCTGGGGGGAGCTCCGGGCTGAGCTCGGCTCTGCTGCTCCCACACGGTTCCGGCCTCATCTGCAGTTATCTGCAGTTATTTGGAGTTTTTTTGAGTTATTTGGAGTTATTTGGAGTTATTTGGAGTTATTTGGAGTTATCTGGAGTTATTTGGAGTTATCTGGAGTTATCTGGAGTTATCTGGAGTTATTTGGAGTTATTTGGAGTTATTTGGAGTTTTTTGGAGTTATTTGGAGTTATCTGGAGTTATTTGGAGTTATTTGGAGTTTTTTGGAGACATTTGGAGTTATTTGGAGTTTTTTGGAGTTATTTGGAGTTATATTTGGAGTTATTTGGAGTTATCTGGAGTTATTTGGAGTTATTTGGAGTTATCTGGAGTTATTTGGAGTTATCTGGAGTTATCTGGAGTTATTTGGAGTTATTTGGAGACATTTATCCCGCTCTGCTGCCGTGTCCGTGGGCAGGAGCAGAGCGGGATCCACGCTCGGGAATGCTGGAGAGCTGCTGGAATTGGGGACAGGACCCCCAAAAAGGGCCGAGTTTGGGCCGTGGGGATGGAGGCATCTCCTCCTGGAACGCTCCCTCCTTTCCCTGCCCTCTGGAGCTGCTGCCGCAGGAAGAGGAACCCCCGGGAGAAGGGCAGGGAAATGTGCGGCTGGAACTGGAGGAATCATTGTTCCCCTGCTCCCAGGGAGGGATTCCTGGTGGGCAGGGCTGGAGCTGCTGCCCCAGCGCTGCCCAGGCTCCCTGAGCATCCCGGGGTTTGTGTCCCTGTCCCTCCTGCCCAGCCCTCTTTGAATGCCCTGTGTCCCGAGGAATCGGGATGAGAAATGGGATGTGTTAAACAATTCTCTGTTGGCTTTGGGGAGCAGCCCCAGATGGCACCAGGCAGCCCCAAATCCCAGGGATTCCCCAAAATGGTGCTGCACCTTTGTCCCTGCAACAATCCTGGGAAGTTCAGTCACGGATCAGCGCTGGGAGGTTGGACTTGATGCTCTCAGAGGTTGTTCCCAAATTTAGGAGTTCTGGGATCTTCCCTGAGCTTCTCCTTTTGCTGCTTTGAGGCCTCAGGATCCTTTGCTGCTCTGGAATTTCCCCTTGGTGAAAGCGGATCGGTCACAGCTCCAGGTTCGGTTCAGAGTGGCCGAGGGGATGAACCAAGGGGGAAAAGTCCACGAAGGTTGGCTCAGCTCTTTAAATCCAGGGTTGTTCCACCATGTGGGCACGTGGGTGACCTTGCCAACTGCATTTTGAGGAATTATCTCCTCTCCAAAGCCACCCAGTGAACATTTCATGCCATTTATCATTTAACAGCTCAGGACACCGCTGCAAATATTTGCTTTGGCTTTGCCTTCACAGCCCTCAGCCCCAGCGCTCGCAGGGGGGATTTGGGCAGAGCTGGAATTAAAATCCAGCTGAGCTCAGCTGGGCTGCACTGGAGATTCCCTGGGCACTGAGGCTGCTGAGAGAGGCTGCAAAGGTTTGGATGTTGGGTCTGGATGGAGGAAAATGGACAAATGTGGAGGATTTGCAGTTGGATTTGAGGGTGGAGCAGTGCAGGGTCCTGACTCACCTTCCCAGGGCTCCTGGACTGCCTGCAGCTCTGCTTGTCCCCTGAAAGAATTTGATTTCCCAAGGCGAGTTAATGGGAGTTTGCCCTTCCCACACCTTCTATTCCAGCTCCCAAAATCTTTTACAACATTTTCCTGCCATTCCTGGAGCATTTTATCCATGGCAGAAGCGTTTTCCTTCCCCAACCACCTGGTGAGGGACAGACACATCCAGGGACTCAGGGACAGCCACCAACCCTGACAAGATTTGGATTTTCCCCTTCCCTTTGGGAATTTTGGGTTAATGGTTGGGATGATCCCGAGGTGTTTCCCAGCCCTAAGACTCCTGGGATTTATCCTTGACTGCTTCTCCTTTTCTCCCTCCATCTCCAAATTCTGTTGTTTCCCAAATGGGGCGAGAAAACAGAAGTTCAGAGAGAGAAATGGGGCTCAGGTGACTTTTTAGGGAGTTTTTTTATAACTCTGGGAGATGAAAATACCCAAACATCGGTTCAGTTTCTCTTCAACGTCACCCACAAGTGGCACAAAGCATTTCCTGTGGGTTCTGTAGAATCCCAGAGTGGTTTGGCTTGGAAGGACCTCAGAGATCCTCCAGAATCCATAAAAACCTCGGCACTGGGAGGGAGGAGCTGCTCCCAGTCACTCCAGGTGCCCAACACCAGCTGTCCCTTGGAGAGGCCTCGGGAAGAGGCTCCAGCAGCTCAGGCTGGAGATTGGGGCTGTTTCTGCTGGAATTACATTTATTTAGAGCCCATTCTCCCCAGCCTCCTTCGATAAAGGGGAAAGTATGAAATAAATGCAAAGCAGGGATTAAATACAAAATAAACAAGCCTCTTATCCAGCCCTGCTTTCCCAAATAACCATTAATAAAGGCATGGGGAGCAATAAATCCCAGCCCAGGCCCGGCTTTAATCCAGCCTTAAACTCATTAAAGGAGAGACAATTCCAAATGAGCCTCTCCTGAAGACAAATCCCGTTCTGAGGCAGGGTTGGGATGGGATTATTGCTTTAATGAAGCCTTGAGCAGTTTCCAGGAGCAGGGATGGTTGGACTTCCCCAGACTTTGGGTGTCCAAGGAGGGATAAAGGCTTTAAACACATCTCATTATGTCAATAACAAGAAATAATTAATGGTAATTAATTATGCAAGTGAGGAGATGGATGGGGAGAGGATGGGGAGGCAGCGCTCAGAGGGGAAAATTAAAAATTAAAAATTCTTGTGGGGAAAAGGGAACGGGAGCAGCTTCAGGTTCTGACACCTCCTCACTGGGGAATGGAGAGGGAAATTCTGGAGCTGGGGATGCAGGGGGGTTCTCCAGAGTCTCCCTGGGTTTGGATGCAGAGGAGAGGGAAAGCCACAAGCGGGCCTGGAGCTGACTCTGGGGTGATGATAAAGGTCGAGGACGGAGCTGCAGCACCTCTGGGTGCCCTCAGAGAGGGGCACAGGGGATCCCCAGCAGCATTTCCATCCCTGAGCCTGCAGTTCCACCAGAATCCTGGGAATGAAAGAGATCCCAAGCCCACGTGGGGTGGGACCTGGGGACCTGCTGGTGGCACTTGGAGGATCTCAAAGTCTTCCCCAGCCTCAGCAATTCCCTGATTCTCTGAACCAAGCTGCTCCCAAGAGGCACCAGAAGCTGAAATCTCCCAATTTTTAACTCAATCCTGGATTTCAGGCAGCCAGAACCCCTCATGGAGGGGGAAAAAAGAGCTTTAACTATGACTGAAACACTTCAAAAAGCCAAATTAGCAAAAGAGCCCCAGATTTCCTCCAGGAAAGGTGGAACTGGAGCTGTGCCCCTGGGATCCAGCCACCCCTGGAGCACATTCCTGCTTCCAGCTCCACGTCTCAGCCTCCTTCCCAGCGCCAGGGCTGGGATACTACGAACAACACCAGCAACAAGGAGAAGGCAGCACTTGGAAACCTCTGACTCGAGACTTTTGTTCCTCAGTTTTCCTCGGGCCCTGATTTATGTTGTGAAATGGTTGATCTTGGCCCCCTGGCCGTGGCTGGCTTCTCTTGTTTTTGGCAGGGGGAATATTGGAATGGCAAAGGAATATCTGGCGGAGGAGCCAGAGGTTGTGTGGGTTTTGTCTGGAAGTTTTAAAAAAATGGAGGAGTTGGTAGTGCTGCTTTCCAAATGAAAGCGTGAAGTAGTTCCTGGAAATCTGTTGGGTTTTTAGTCTTTTTTCAAAGGAAAAGGTTCCTTGTTGGTCTGGAGGGGTTGAATTAAATCTGCACCAAGGAGGGAGATTTTCCTCCCATCACTCAGAGGAGATGTTGGAAAAACTCAATAAAGGGGGGAAAATGTTCTTGAGGACAAAGCAAAGGTGTTTAACAAGATTTTATAGATCCCCCTCTTGCTGAAAAAACATAAAATAGAAAATGATTGGGAATATTGAGCGTGAACCCAGAGCAGCTGGAACCCAACCCTGCACAGCCTTTCAAGGCTTTCCTTCTCTTCTCCTTCATTCCTTTGATGGAACTGAACAAGAATAATTAAAAATATCAATTCCAGCTCCCAGAGGTGAGGCCCTGGAGGAGAATTCCCAGAGCAGCTGTGGCTCCTCCATGGCTGGAAGTGTCCAAGGCCAGGTTGGAGCAGCCTGGGACAGTGGGGGTTGTCCCTGCCCGTGGAAGGGGTGGATTTGGATGGGATTTAATCCTTCCAGCCCAAACCAGTCTGGGATTTTATGATCCCCTGTTTCTACGTGCTGAACTTGGAGTATTTTCTGTGCTGGCAGTGTCACACATCCAAATTTCTCTTGGAAGTTCTGAGCTCTGTGGCTTTTCCTGGTGGCACATTCAGCACCTCTCACCTTTAAACCCCAAACCAAAAAGAACCAAAAGTAATTGGAATTGTTGGGACTTGATCCCATTCCTGGAAGTCCTCAGGGGCTTTTTGCAGAGCCAGGGACGGTTCCAGCTGGGAGGAATTCAGAGCCCCCTTTGCCCCCTTGTCATTGTCCCCACACTGGACAGGGGCAGCTCCGACTTTTCCAGGGGGATTTCTGGAATTTTTCCATTGCAAATTCTTCATCCAACACGGCCAGGCCTGGGGGAGCGAGCAGAGGGCTCCTCCAAGGGAGAATTCTCGGCAATAAATCCCTTTGGCATTTTCTGGGGGGATCTGCTGGCTCCAGCAGGACACGGAGGCACCGAGGATCCCAAAGCCAGCATTGTCTGGGATCTGTTCCCACAACCCCAAACCCCTCTGGGGAGGGGAAAACGCTTTCCCAAACCCACCCTGGCATTTGGCAGCAGCTCTGGTCCCCTGTGAGCCCCCCGAGGCCGGGGGGCTCCCGAGCTGTCCCCAGCCATTGTCAGAGCTGATCCCAAGGGAGCAGCAAAAATCCGGGCACGGAGCAAAAGCAGAGCCAATCGTGAATTGGAGAAAAGATTTCCAGCTCGGATGGAGAGGTGGGATCATTGTCCCTGGAAAACCACAGGCTGAGAATCCACATTCATTTTCTTCGAGTTTCACAATGAGGGAAAGGGGGGCCACAAATAATCCCAAAAGAAACTCCCCTGTTTGTTCCTTAAAGGAGATTTTCCGGCTTCTTCTGGCACTGCAGATCCTCATTAACCTGGAATTGGGGAAATTGGCACTGATGAAGCAAAAATTGTCCCTGGATGGTTGGGAAATGGTCAATGGACATTATTTTAAAGGTGAACGAATTGGGAATTGGCTGCCTCTGTTCCCGAAGGATTTGATTTTCCCCACAAATTCTGCTTGGGATGAGAAACTTGAGGAGAATTTTCCAGTCAGGAAAGGGACAGGGAAGGTGGGAACTGGGAATTCCACTCTGCTGCCCTGGAGGAGTGGGCAGAGCAGGAGAGAGAATTCATGGCTGGAGTCACACAGAGAACACAGAGAAAGAAAGGAAAAAAAAAAAAATAGCTGTGAAATTTTGGGATGTTCCCAAAATATTGGGAAAGCTGAACGGATCCCAGGGTCAGGAGATGCTGCTCGAGCAGGAGAGGGAGCGGCGGCTCCCCTGGAATCCCAGCCCGCGGATTCCCCCAGTTCTCCTCCCTCTCCAGCCTTTCCCAGGATCCGGGAGCAGCCGGGACCGAGCCCTTCCCAGCTCCTTCCTCCTCCCGGGGCCTCCTCCCGGTGCTCCCGGAGCCTTTCCCGGCTCCCCGCAGCCCCATCCCGGCTCCAGCCGCGTCCTGGAGCGGGGTTTGGGGGGCGGCTCCTCCTGCCGAGCTTTCCCTTCTGATTTGTCCCATCCCAGGGCTCTGTTCCAGGGTTTTTCCTTCTTTTCCAGGGCTTTTCCTTCTTTTCCAGGGTTTTTCCCTCTTTCCCAGAGTTTTTCCCTCTTTTCCAGAGTTTTTCCCTCTGTTCCAGGATTTCTCCCTCTTTTCCAGGGCTTTCCCCTCTTTCCCAGGGTTTTTCCCTCTTTTCCAGGGTGTTTTTTCCCCTCTTTTCCAGAGTTTTTCCCTCTTTTCCAGGGTTTTTCCCTCTTTTCCAGTGTTTTCCCCTCTGTTCCAGTGTTTTCCCCTCTTTTCCAGGGTTTTTCCCTCTTTCCCAGTGTTTTTCCCTCTTTCCCAGGGTTTTTCCCTCTTTCCCAGGGTTTTTCCCTCTTTCCCAGGGTTTTTCCCTCTTTTCCAGGGTTTTTCCCTCTTTTCCCGGCTCCCGCTGGAGGCAGCATCCATTGAAATTCCCGCTGGCTCCATCCCTGCGTGTCGCCCATCCCGGAGGGTTTGAGGCGCTTTTTCCCCTCTGTCCCTCCTTAGCATCCCTCTGTGGGTCACACTCACCTCATTTGCATAATTCTCATTAGCTAATGAGCCCTTTCAGCGGCACAAAAGGTGAGAAGGGGACGATCCATCCATGGAAAAACGCCCCAGGGCTGCGCCAGCTCTGGGAAAAAAACCCCGAGCTGAGAGGAGGGGGGGAAAAACCCTCTGGATTTTTAAGTTTAATTTTCAATTTTTTAATTTTGTTTTTTTTTTTTTAATTATGTCCTCATCCCTGGAAGGGTCCAAGGCCAGGTTGGACGGGGCTTGGAGCAGCCTGGGACAGTGGAAGGGGTCCCTGTCCCCGTCAGGGGTGGAATTCCATGAGTTTTAAAGTCCTTCCATCCCAAACCGCTCTGTAATTCCATGATTTTAAGACATCCCTTTTACCCTGACCTTCTTCCTGATGCAAATGAGGGATCCCAGCTCGTGTTTCCCAGCACTGAGCAAACTGCTGAGAACTCTAAAAGCAATTTCATCCCAAATTTGCTGAATTTGATATTTTTTCCCCCCCTTTACAAACCAGCGTTGTCCTTCTGGAGTGATTGCTTTGGAATCTCATTCCCTTCTCCCTCTGGGTCATTCCTGGGACATCATTCATCCCAGCCCGCTCCGAGTGGATTCTCCCCATGGTTTATTTTGAAACTCTGCTAATTTTTAGCAGATGCTCAGCAAGGTTCACTTTGGGAGGAACAATTGGCTCCCATCTCCCAGGATCCCTGCAGGAAATCCTTGGATGGATCCCTTTTGGAAAGAGCTGATTGAAACTGCTCCACTTTATCCATTCCACTGAGCTCCCTTCTCTTTCTGTCCATGGCACTGACAGAGATCAATTCTTCCTCCACGGATTTGGACCAAAACCTCCCAAAATTCTGAACAGGAGGGGGATGTCCCACAGGGAGCTGTTCCCTGCTCTCCTGCAGAGCCTGGATTTATCCAAAGGCATGGGAACAGAGGGAAAAACCCCAACCTGTGTTTGATTTTCAGCCCAAATGTCTGCGGCTCCAGGTTCCATTCCTACTGCTGTCCCGGCTGGAAAACTCTGCCTGGAGGGAACCAGTGCATTGTCCGTGAGTATCCCTTTTTCCCTGGATCCACTGGATCCATCTGATCCATTTCCCTGCTCCCAGGGAGCTGGGAAGGAATTCCCAGCTCAGCTCGGGGCAGGGCTCCTGGGAACCCCCAGCTCTGCTGATCCCGATGAAAGCCGGGCGGTTCCAGTCGGTCCCGGTTATTGAATTCTTTAATTTAATTTAATTTAATTTAATTTAGTTTAATTCACCTCTCCTGAGGTGCCACCGTGTCCCTTGGCAGCTCCTGTCGGGACGGGAGGCTCCTGAGGAAGGGATTCCCTGCTCGTTCCCATGGAATTGATGGGGACACCACAAAGCCGCTGTGTCCCAGCGGGAATTTCCATCTCCAGGGAGGATGGCTGAGATAAATCTCACCTGGATTGGGAGTTTTCCTCCCTGTCGGGGCTCTCCAGGGCTGCTGTCCCGCATTCCTGTGGGATACAGGGTCCGTGCCCATGGATGGGATTTCGGGTCCTTCCCGCAGAGCTGCGCCAGCCCCTCCCTGGGGGATTCCTCTCCAAGGGATGGATCCAGAGCCGTGTCTGAATTCCCGAGGTGTGATCCCAGTGTCCTTGTGTGCCCCCAGCAATCTGCAGGAATTCCTGCGGGGATGGATTCTGCTCCCGGCCCAACATGTGCACCTGCTCCAATGGCCAGCTGTCCCCGAGCTGCGGCTCGCCTGGAGGTGAGGGAATTCTGCTGCTGCTCCCGGGCTGCTCTCCCAGGGCATCGGGACCCAACCCCTGCACTCCCACCCCCAGCCCACTGAATACCGCCGCTTTCTCAGCGAATCCCGTCTTTTGGGGTGCTTTCCCCGAGGGCTTTTCCTGCAGAAATTTGGATTTTGGAGTGTGATGAGGTCCCGGCTGGAGAGAGAAACCCGAGAATCAATTTTCCCTCAGTGCCCGGAGGAGCCTTTGTGTAAAGCGACCCCTCAAATCCACAGTCAGGGGGTGCCTGGGAGAAGGGAATTCCCGGGATCCGCTTCCCCAGAGCCGGATCTCCCGGCAGATCCCCCCTCGGCCAGGGGGAGCTTCTGGAGCCAGCGACCCCCGGGAGCTCCATGTGGGAGCAATCAGCGAGGAATTCCAGGAATTCCAGGAATGCCGAGAGCTGTGCATCCATCCTGCCATTCCCGGGAGCCTGGGCTGCCTGGGCAGGGGGGGCTCCTCCCCTCTGGAATTCGCTGTTGGGGGCTGGATTTCTGTGGAAAAACAGACAAATCCCACATTCCAGAGGCAAGAAAAGGCACCGTGCCTGCTCTGGAATAACAAAGGGCGGCGTTTCCTGCTCGGTTTCTTACTCCAGGGAGTAAAGATGTTGGTTAGGTGGAGTAACAAAGGGCGGCGTTTCCTGCTCGGTTTCTTACTCCAGGGAGTAAAGATGTTGGTTAGGTGGAGTAGTGAGTGAGTAGAGACCAAAACCCCACAGCTGATCCCTGGCAGAGCCACTGATCCCTTCCAACAATCTGTGGGACTAATCCAGTCCAATCCAGTCCTGGGAAAAGTTAATGAGGACGAGCTGTCACCCTCCTTTTCCTGTCATTTCTCCTTTTCCTGTCATTTTTCCTTTTCCTTTCATCCTTTTCCTGTCATCCTCCTTTTCCTGTCATCCTCCTTTTCCTGTCATTTCTCCTTTTCCTGTCATCCTCCTTTTCCTGTCATTTCTCCTTTTCCTGTCATCCTCCTTTTCCTGTCATTTCTCCTTTTCCTGTCATTTTTCCTTTCCCTGTTATTTCTCCTTTTCCTGTCATTTCTCCTTTTCCTGTCATCCTCCTTTTCCTGTCATCTTCCTTTTCCTGTCGTTCCTCCTTTTCCTTTCATCCTTTTCCTGTCATTTCTCCTTTTCCTGTCATTTCTCCTTTTCCTTTCATCCTTTTCCTACAACTTTGGCCTCTGCTACCCTGGCAAATCCTGGAAATTCCTGGTTGGAAGATGTTCTTCAGCATTCCAGATCCGCAGGGGGCTCCAGCAGAGCCAGGCTTGGGCAGTCCCAGGTTGGACAGGGCTTGGAGCAGCCTGGGATCCCCGAAGGAAGGGCTGGAATGGGATGAGCTTTAAGGTCCCCACCAGCCCAAACCTATCTGGGATTCCCAGAGAAATCAGAAGGTGATGGCATCTCAGGGGTTTTGGGATCGTGGCAGGAGTCAGGAACGGGACCTGAGGGGTGTTTCCCACTTGGATGGAAATTCCTGGCTGAGGATCAGGGCTCTTCCTGTGCCCTGAACCCCCCGAACTCCCGAGCTCGGGATGTTCCCCTGCCATGGGCACAGCTCTGGCTCCGGCCCTCCCCAGCCCCCTCTGGCTCCCAGATGTGCTGGAATTGCATTCCCAGGAATGCCTGGGCCAGCTGAGGCTGTAGGGAAGTGTTTTCTGGATTGGAGCCTTTTCCCAGTGGGAACAGCCTTGTGTCTGACAGCCCAGCCGAGGCTTTGAAGCCTGGAGCTCCGTTTCCTGGAGGATTAAACTCCCACCTGAATTTGGGGTGGGAGGAAGACGAGGAGACATCGGGAGGGATCCAGAGCAGCCCCGGATCCGATGTCCAGCCCTTGGAGCACTGACACTTCCCAGCCCTCCCTGCTCCCAGAATTCCCACAGATCCACGGGAATCCACAAAATCAGCCCCGGAATTCTCCCACTTGGACACTCCTGGACGGCCCCAGCTCTTCCCTGCCTGGTGTTGGTGTTGGAGGAGCCACGGCTGAGCCTCCATCCCAAATCCAGCCCCTGGAGCTGCCAGATCCCGGCTCCTCCTGTCCCCAGCAGCCCCAGCCCAGCCCTCCCTGGGGTTTTGGTGTGAAATCCACTTCTCACACCATTTGCTCTTGGAGTGCTCGCACCTTCCAGAGGAGGAATGTGTTGTTCCAGGCACTCCAGAGGGAAAGTTGTGTTGGTTCCTCACCCCTGAGCTCCAAATCTCCATCTCTGAGCTGCTTTAATCCCAAATTCCTTAAAGACGGAGTGAGGAAACAGTTAAAGGCTGAGGACTTGGTGTCCACAGCAGGATGAAACTTCCCAATTTATTTATTGCTATTGTTTTCCTGCGGTGCCTCAGTCACATCCAGCGGGTCATAATCCGGTGGGAAAGCTGAGCTCTCACATGGAAGAATGGAGGATTCGTGCTTTTCTTTCCAAATCCATGAAAAAAAACCCTCTCCCAGTAACTGGATCTTGCCAAGGAGGCCACGTTGTGTTTGCAAAAGGAGGAGAAATGTCTTAAAGTTGGTGGTTTTCCTCCACCAAGGAAATTCCATCCCCCAAACTCCTCAGAGGGCTTTGATAGGGAGGAATTTGGAAGATTTGAGTGTGAAAAGGGTTGAAAATGGAGCAATAATGGAAAACAATGATAAAAAGAGTGGGAAAATATTGGAAAAGTAGAAAATCCTGAAAGAAAAGATTGTGACGGGGTTGTCAGAGACAGGGAGACATCGGGAATTGTGCCCTGGGAATCCTGCAGGAAGGACAAAGCTGGGAAGGCTCGATTGGGGTGGGTTCCCTAACGGAATAAAGGGATGGATGCCTTGGGATTGTGTGGAAGGAGGGTTGGGATGGGTCTCAGGGAAAGGTTTTCCCGAGGGTGCTGGCACTGGCCAGGCTCCCCAGGGATTGGGATCATTCCCAGAGCTCCAGGACAGCCCCTGGGACAGGCTGGGATTGCTGGAGTCAGCAGCTGGATCCGGGGGAGTCCCTCCCAGCCCAGGACATTCCCTGCCACGGGAATTCCCGGGGTGATTCCCTGTCCCTGTGCCTGTCCCCAGTGCAGAGCTGCAGCGTGCGGTGCATGAACGGCGGCAGCTGCTCCGAGGAGGCCTGTCTGTGCCAGAAGGGATTCACAGGAACCTACTGCGGGCAGCGTGAGTGTGGGAATAATGGGAATAATGGGAATAATGGGAATAATGGGAATAATGGGAATGGGAATGGGAATGGGAATAATGGGAATGGGAATGGGAATGGGAACGGGAATGGGAACAGGAACAGGAATGGGAACAGGAATGGGGTTGGGAATGGGAATGGGAACAGGAAAGGGCATCCAGGACACCCCAACATCAGCACTGTGTTCTCCTTCCCTCTCTCATGGCCAACACAGACACAGCTCTGTATCAAAATACAGATATCAGATATAATCAATGGATCAAAATACAGATATCAGATATAATTAATGGATTAATTTATTTCCCAATATACTGTATAATATATTATAATAATATAGATTTTTCAATCGATTACGATATATAGATAACAGATACCAATAGTATTGTATTTATTGTATTTTCTATATGTGATGTATAGATAAGTTATATATTCTAATATAACATATATTCATAACATAGAATGTAATGTATAGTGTATATACATATTCATAATATCTCATGCATTATTATATATGAGATAACATTATTAGAGATGAGATAATGTATGTACAATATATTAAATATAACAGGCACCTATGTATCATATATACAATTATACCTCTCAATAATTATATATTCTCTTATTATATTATCATGATATAATTCTATTTCACACATTACAGTTATTATATCATTATATCAATTATAAATGATGTCTATATATTATATATATTCTACCATTTGAAGAAGCCTTTAGTAAGCAAATAAGAACAATATCTTTGAAAGAATCTCCTATCAGTGCCAGCAATTCGAACTTCCCAAATTCCAGATCCTGGGATCCACGTGGGAATCACTCCCAATCAAACCACTGAGGATTCCTAAAGACAAAACCCCTCATTCTCCCCAAACTCCCCCTCAGCTCTGCCCGATCCCTCTCTGCTGAAACTTCCCCAAAAGTTCAGCTGGAGGCTCCAGATGGAAAATTTCATCCCGAGCAGCAAAAGCTTGGGAAAATTCTCCGGAGCAGCAGCCTGGGACGTGCAGCCGTGGCTACGTGCTGCTCCCAGCCCTGGCAGCACATCCCGGCAGCCTCGGCAATCTGCACCCCCGGCCCGGGGCAGAGCTGGGAGCTGGGGGTCCCTTGGGGGTCCCTTCCCCCTCTGGACATTCCATCAATCCATGAATTCCACCAGGAGACTCCTTTGGCTCCAGCCCTGGGTGCAGGGCTTCACCCCAGGGTAGCAGGGCCACGTTAAAATCAGAAATACTTAAAGCCAGGAATATTTAAAGCCAGGAATATTTAAAGCCAGGAATATTTAAAGCCAGGAATATTTTAAGGCAGGAATATTTTAGGTCAGGGAACACCCAAGTGTTGCTCAGACCTCAGTTCCTCGCTCTGGGCACGTGGGATTAAATCCCTGAGCAGCCTCCCCTTCTCCCATCCCAGCTGCCCCATTCCTCACTCCTTTCCCTTGCTGCATTTTCCCGTCCGTGTCCGCTCATCCCGAGGCTGAGCTGAGGGAGCCGAGATTCCAGAGGGCAGGAAATCCTCCCCAGTGCAATGGGAGTTTATGGATTTTGCAGAAAGGGGCTCAGGCAGGATCGGGGAACAATTTTTCCAAGGAAAAAACATCCAAATCTCGGATTTCTCCGCGTTGGCTGCGGGTGGGAGAGCACGGAGCTGATATTCCAAGCTGTGATATTCCAGGCTCCATGGAGGTGCCATCCCGAGCTCTGCAGCAGCACTGAGGGGTTGTCCAGGAGCAGAAATGATGGAATTCTCTGTTTTCCCTCGCAGCCGTGTGTGAGAACGGCTGCCAGAACGGGGGCAGGTGCATCGGGCCCAACCGCTGCGCTTGTGTCTACGGCTTCACCGGGCCCCAGTGCGAGAGAGGTGAGCGTTCCCACATCTCCACATCATTCCCACATTCCCCCATCATTCCCACATTCCCACATCATTCCCACATCCCCACATCATTCCCACATCCCCACATTCCCACATTCCCACATTCCCATATTCCCATATTCCCACATTCCCACATCATTCCCACATCATTCCCATATTCCCACATCATTCCCACATCCCCACGTCATTCCCACATCCCCACATCATTCCCACATCCCCACATCATTCCCACATCCCCACATCCCCACATCCCCACATTCCAGCATTCCCACATTCCCATATTCACATATTCCCATATTCCCACATCATTCCCACATCCCCACATCCCCATATTCCCATATTCCCACATTCCCACATTCCCAGATTCCCACATCATTCCCACATTTCCACATCCCCACATTCCCACATTCCCAGATTCCCACATCATCCCCACATTCCCATATTCCCACATTCCCTGCCATTCCAGGGCAGCTGCTGGAATTCCAGGCTGGATTCCAGCCCGTGGGTTTGGGTTTGTGCCGCTGTCCCGAGCGCTCTGTGGGGCTGCAGGTGTGGGATGGGAATTCCCGGGATGTGGCTCGGGGTGGCTTTGCTGGGCTGCTGCAGGAGCAGATTTGGGCTCCCTGGGCACCGCTGGGCTTTGGCTGAGCCAGGGAATTCCTCCTTTTCCCGCTGGCTCTGATGGACACTCCCAGCTCCCGTGGGATTCTTGGAGTGGCCCGGATCCGAAACACGGAGCCGATTTTGAACTGCCAGACCTGAGCTCAGAGCAGCTGGAAATGTCCCGATTTTCCAGCTCCAATCTCCCAGGACTGGGCTCGTTCTCCATTCCAGGGACTGGGCTGGCCCTGCCTTTCCTGGGATTTTTCCGTGTGGCTCAGGGGGTGAGGCAGGAGCGGCAGCTGGGCTCTGCTGGCTCCTTCAATCCACCCAATCCCACCGGGCTGTGCAGAATTCCCGGGAATCCCAAAGCACCTCCCGGAGCTCGGGCTGCAGGTGAGCCCCTCCAAGGCCTCTGCTGGAGTCTGAGCCGCTCATTTTTGGCTGCAGAGAAGGGAAAGCTCTGTCAAAGCCTCCACACGTCCCCTGCAGTAACCTCACCTTGCTCCCATCTCCTTCTCTGGAGAATCAGGGGATTGTGGAATTGTGGAATTGTGGAATTGTGGAATTGTGGAGTGGTTTGGGTTGGAAGAGAACTGAAAACCACTCAGGAACAGCTCCCACTGTCCCAGGCTGCTCCAGCCTGGCCTTGGATGCTTCCAGGGATGGGACATCCCAAATTTTCTGGACAGTTCTGTTCTGCAGCTGTCAGAGATTCTTTAAACCCTCTCCTTGCCTTTTTCCAACACCCAGGAATTAAAAATTCCTAGGATTTCTCTCTGGAGGGCTCCGCCCTGGGAGATTTCTCCCCCAAAGCCCCAAACCCAGAGCTCCTCACCTTTTCTCCCTCACTGGGGCCTGAGGTGCTGGGATCCCAAATCCATCCAGATGTTGTGTGAGCAGAGAGCTGGAAATTCCTGAGAGAATCTTCTGGAGAAAGCTGGAAAATCCAAGTGTCCTCTGTGTGTGTGGAGAGGGGAAGAGGCAGGGGCTGAGCAGGGCAGACTTTGGGGCCGTTTGTATAAAATTCTTGTCAGAAAGGAGCATTTTCACAAAGCCTGCAGAGATTTGGCTGAGCCAGGCTTGTGGGAGAGACAAAACAAATCCTGCAGCTGTGTCCACAGCGCTGCTCCCTGCCAAGACAAACACAGCCTGGGCTGGGAGGGGATGCTGGGGGCTCTGCAGCCAGGTGAGTGCCTGGCACTCAGCTCCCAGGGAAAATCTGGGAGCCAGGGAACAGCTCCAGCCTCCCCAGGGAGCTCTGGGCTCCTGCTCCATCCCCAGGGCTGTGAGAGGAGTCCCTGAGCACCAGGGTTGGTGTCCTGCTGCTCCAGGGGGTGTTTGGTGGGTCCATGGGATCCTTGGGGGTCTCCAGGAGGAGATCCCAGCAGCAGCAGCACCTTCTGTAGCTCTCAGGCCAGCTCCAGCCCTCTTTCCCGAGGATTTTCCTGGAGCAGGAGGAACTCAGAGCAGAGCCTGAAGGCTTTTCCTCGTAGGGAGAAAGGACAAATCTCATCCCAGAGCCAGGGGATGTGCTGGGCCCTGCCAGGTGTGGAGTTCTCTGCGCTGAGTGATGAGTGAGGAGCATAAACACAAACACAACAGCAGGAACTCCACCCCAGCAGGAGGGAAAAGCTCTTTCCCTGGAGGTGGCAGAGCCCTGGAGCAGCTCCCAGGGAGCTGGGGATTCTCCTCATCTGGAGACCCCAAACCCACCTGGTTCTGGGTCACCTCCTCCAGGCCACCCTGGCTTGGGCTGGGGGATCCCCAAACCCAGAATCCCGGGATTCTGTGAACCCCATCCCTGAAAAAAGAGCTCATCCACCCCAGATCCATCTGATCCCAGAGTTATTCCAAGGCTTCACTTGAATTTACTTTGCTACCGCCGTAACAAGAAATAATTTCAATTTTAAATTGGAAGAAAGTGAATTTCTGAGTGCTGAGAGCAGCTCCAGTAAGAGGCTGCTTTGTACTGGGAGCAGAACAACCCCCCTCACACCTCATGCAGGAAACTCCCCCCTCCAGAGGGAAATACCCTCGGAGCAGGCACTCACAGGATTCCAGCATCATTTCCTCCCTCTCCCTGCCGTTTTCGGGGATGAGGGGCTGGGGGGATTTTGTGGAACCGGAGCTGCCATTACATCAGTGTGGGAGGAGAAGCTGCAGCCCAGGAAAGCTGAGGCCAGGGGCTGCTCAGGGTTTTACAATGAGGGATTTTGGTGTCGTGGCTCCGATTCCAGCCTCCCTCAAGTAGGAAAAAGTGACTCGGGGCGAGCGGCTCGGTTGGGCTCAGGTGATGTTTGGAATCCTCCTGTGCTCCAGGGATGAGTTTGTCATTTGGGGTCGTTTTTCCAGCCAAATGAAATCTTCCCTGTAGAGCCTGTCCCTGTGGAGCTCTTCCCTGGGATCCAGGAGCTCTTCCCTGGGATCCAGGAGCTCTTCCCTGCGATCCAGGAGCTCTTCCCTGCGATCCAGGAGCTCTTCCCAAGGATCCAGGAGCTCTTCCCTGCGATCCAGGAGCTCTTCCCAAGGATCCAGGAGCTCTTCCCTGTGACCCAGGAGCTCTTCCCTGTGACCAGGAGCTCTTCCCTGTGACCAGGAGCTCTTCCCTGCGATCCAGGAGCTCTTCCCTGGGATCCAGGAGCTGTGCTCTCTTCCAAGGGACTCTGGGCAGTGCCAGGTTTCCAGCTGAGTGCTTGGGAAGAGTCTGGAGCTCTGGAAGTGCCACCCCAGTCCCTCCCCTGACCAGTCCTGACCCCGAGGGCTCTTCCAGGACTTTCCAGCTCTGACATTTCCAGCCATTCCTCCCACTCTGGAAGCACCAGCTGCCTCATTCCCTGTGCTCTTTGTGCCCCAGGAGCTGCTCCTTGAAACTCTCTCGGGTTTCATCAGGCTGAGACTTCATCAGGAAACTGTAAAAATAGGACAGGAAAACTCAGAAAAAGTTCTCCCTTTACAATTTCCTCTGGACGTGTTTTTCCAGCACTTGGAATGTCTGGCCTTAGAAAGTGCCCCCGCCAGCTTTTTCTTTTCTGCAAAAATCCAAACAGTTAAACTTGAGGAATGTGGCTGTGTTTGGGTGAAGTAAGGAAATGACGAGCTGGAGAAAGTATTCCATGAGAAAGGAGCCCCTCAGGGAGACCCTCGGGCTGCTCCCCTGCCCTGCCCCGAGCCCGAGGGGCTGGGGGAGCTCCGGGGCTGGAGAACAGCAGGGAACAATGGGAGAACAACCGGGGAACAACGGGGGAACAACGGGGGAACAACGGGGGAACAATGGGGGAACAACAGGGGAACAATGGGAGAACAACCGGGGAACAACAGGGGAACAACAGGGGAACAACAGGGGAACAACCGGGGAACAACGGGGGAACAACAGGGGAACAACGGGGGAACAACAGGGGAACAACGGGGGAACAACGGGGGAACAACCGGGGAACAACAGGGGAACAACGGGGGAACAACCGGGGAACAACCGGGGAACAACAGGGGAACAACCGGGGAACAACAGGGGAACAACCGGGGAACAACGGGGGAACAACGGGGGAACAACGGGGGAACAACAGGGGAACAACGGGGGAACAACCGGGGAACAACAGGGGAACAACGGGGGAACAACAGGGGAACAACCGGGGAACAACAGGGGAACAACAGGGGAACAACAGGGACAGGTTCTCTCCAGTCCCAGTCTCTCCAGTCCCAGTCTCTCCAGTCCCAGTCTCTCCAGTCCCAGTCTCTCTCCAGTCCCAGTCTCTCCAGTCCCAGTCTCTCTCCAGTCCCAGTCTCTCACTGGTCCCAGTCCCAGCCGTGGGCTCCTGCCCCATCCCAGGATTTGTGGTCCCATCCCGGAGCTCCCTGGGGATGATCCCCCGGCCACTCTTGTCCTGCAGGGTTTAAGGAAAAGCCTCCATTGTTTATTGTGAGAGGGAATTGGAGTTTGGCAGAGGAAAAAGCTCCTCTTCCTCGGCTCTGTTTGTTTGCTTTGCAGAGCAGGAACTCAGCCCTGTCCCGGGAGGGGATTCCAGAGGGTGGGAGAAGAGAGAAGCTCCTCATTCCCTCCCCTTTCCCTCGTGCTGCACTCTGGATCTGGCTGTCCTTGAGACAACACAGAAAATCCTGGAATTATCCCACTTTTCCATCTCCAGGGATCTGAATTCCCACTGGATTTGACTCAGGGACACCCTCCTGGCTCCGTGGATGTGCAGCAAATGCTTTTTTCTTGGGAATATTTTCCTGATCAAACCCTCTCCCCAGAATCCCCCCTGATCCAGGATTTCTTGCAGTCCTTTGATGGGAATTGTCATTGGAATTGTCAGGGGTTCAGAGCTCAGGGGGTTCCCTAAATCCCCCCAATATTCAGGATTTCTTGCACTCCCTCAACGGGAACTTCACCCGGAGCTGCTCCCTGTCCCACTCTGGGCTCTGGGAGAGGGAACAGCAAATCCCAGCTTTCCCTGGGCTTTTCCAAGGAAAAACCCAGCTCCTGAAGGCCAGCTACCTGCAGCAGGATTCCTGGAACACGGATCCCATGCAGGGACTGGGAAAGGCTTCAGACATCTCCTAAGCGTCCTGATTTCCTTCATAAAATTTCATTGGTGCCTCATTAAAAATTTAATCATTTGCCCATTAAAATTAGCACCAGCTGGGGCTGGGAGGCAGCCAGGGCTCTCCAGACTGCGATTTCCTTGGCTTCCTTCCCTCCAGAGGAGTCATCTGCATAGGAAAAGTTATTTTGAGCAATTATGGGCTTAAAAGGGGGTGTTCTCCTCACAATCCCGCATTCATTATCCCTCTCCAGGAATTCCTGCGGGGCCTGGGGGAGATGAGGTAGGAGATGAGGTGGGAGGTGCAGGTTCAGCCACTTTTCTCTCTCAGAGCCATCTGTTTGGGGTTTTTTCATTTATTAATCTGAGTTTTTTTGGGGTCCACCCTGCAGTGACATCGGCCACTGGTCTGGGACCAGTGTAAAATTTGTAAAATTGGGGTAGCAAGAGAAGGATCATTGTTTGGTAATTCCCCATGGTTCTGGTCAGATCCCCAAAAATAAAAAGGCTTTTTTTGGGAGGTGCCATCACCTTCACACCGACATAACTTCCAAACCATTCCCTTTTTCCCTCTCAAATCCTTCTCCTCTCGTCCACATCCACAGCCCAACTGTCCCAGCTTTCATTTTCGAGTTCCAACAGCTCCAGAGCACAAATCAGAGGGAGCACTAAGCTGGAAACGAGGAATTCTTCGCTAATTGATTCCTTCCCAGACAGGAGAATTTCCTGGGTGTTTTCCACGGATTTTGGGACAGGGTTACCTGGGGCTCTCACCCCCCTCCACACATCAAACCCAAACCTTTCCCTGCAGGGATGGCTGGGGGTTAATCCGGGCGCAGGGAATTGGGGTCACGGTTCCTAATTACTGCCTAATTCCATCCTGGAAATTCCTGGAGCCGTCTCAGCCGGGCTCTGGCTGCCTGACCAACACCTGACTGCTCACACACTTCAGGGGGAATTTTCTGGGCTGACCAGGACGTGCTCCAAGCTTTGGCTTTGTTTTTTTTTTATTCCCAGCCACAGATCAAACACTTCTGTGCCACCACCTCTGCCCAGCTGAAGGAAAAATCCCACGGAAGGATTTTGCTTCCTGCTGGATTCCTGCTGTGCCAAAATCCCTCATCAAGGGTCCAGGCAGCGGCAAACCCACATTCCTGGGGGCAAAACCCCGCAAGAATTGGGTTAAAATCCTTGGGGTTTAAGGGATGGGAGGATCCTAATTGGGAATGGGAAAGCTGCTGGTTGTTCCTGCAGTCTGGGGTTTAAAGTTGAAGTTGCCAGGAGATGTTTGGGAGTTAAAGTGAAGAAATGAATCATGAGAGAGAATCCCAGAATCCCAGACTGGTTTGGGATGGGAAGGGAACATAAAAACCATGGAATTCCACCTCCTGCTTTGGGCACCTTCCACTATCCCAGGGTGCTCGAGCTCCATCCAGCCCGGCCTTGGGCACTTCCAGGGAAGGATCTTTGTAACTGAAGTGGAATTTGATTGCTTTCCTCATCCCTGCAATTCCCAGAACAGGCACAGCTGCAGCCCTGGAATTGCCTCTTTGCCTGACTTTTGATTTCCAGCTCCTTTCAGGGCCAGCACCGCCTCCGTGGCAGTTCCCCCCGGAGCTGAGCGCAGAAATCCTGGGATTCCCAGGCGGGATCTAACCCAGGGATTCATTCCTTTCCTCCCCAGATTACCGCACCGGGCCCTGCTTCAGCCAGGTGAACAACCAGATGTGCCAGGGCCAGCTGAGCGGCATCGTGTGCACCAAGACCATGTGCTGTGCCACCATCGGCCGCGCCTGGGGCCACCCCTGCGAGATGTGCCCGGGCCAGCCGCACCCCTGCCGCCGCGGCTTCATCCCCAACATCCGCAGCGGAGCCTGCCAGGGTCAGCACCAGCACCCACAGCCCGGGGGGATTCTGACAGCAGAGCATGGGATGGGAGCCTGGAACAGCCCCAGAGTAGGGAATTGTGAGAGCAGAGCATGGAACAGGAGCGTAAAACAACCCCAAAGTAGGGAATTCTGAGAGCAGAGCATGGAACAGGAACCTAAACCAGTCCCAAAGTAGGGAATTCTGACAGCAGAGCATGGAATGGGAACCTGAAACAACCCCAGAGTAGGGAATTGTGAGAGCAGAGTATGGAACAGGAGCATAAAACAGCCCAAAGTAGGGAATTCTGACAGCAGAGCATGGGATGGGAGCCTGGAACAGCCCCAGAGTAGGGAACTGTGAGAGCAGAGCATGGAATGGGAGCCTGAAACAGCCCCAGAGAGGGAATTCTGAGAGCAGAGCATGGAACAGGAACCTGGAACAGCCCCAGAGTAGGGAATTGTGAGAGCAGAGCCCCAAAATAGAGAGTGCAGAGAGCAGAGCCCCAAAATAAATAGCACAGAGAGCTGGAGCCTAAACCAGCCCCAAAATAAGGAAGTCTGACAGCAGAGTATGGAACAGGAACCTAAACCAGCCCCTGGGGGGGAATTGTGAGAGCAGAGCCCCAAAATAAGGAATTCTGAGAGCAGAGCCTGGAACAGAAGCCTAAACCAGCCCCAAAGTAGGGAATTCTGAGAGCAGAGCCCCGAAACAGAGCTCCAATCTGGAGCTCTAATCTAATCTAATTAAACCAGGGAATACAGGGAGGAAAAGCCCCAGAGCACAGAACTCTCTGTGGAGCTCTGCCCAATCCCCCCGTGTGTCACAGAACATCTCCAGGGACCCGGGGTGTCCCCTGGGATCTCCCAACACCATTTTACCCCAGAGATTCTGGCCACACTCAGCTCTGGGCGAGCTCCTCCACCCCACAGGGTGTCCAGGTGTCGGGACACATCCTTTGGGAAGCATTCCCATGCTTTTATCTCCCTCTTGCTTGAGCCAGGAGTTCACCCCTGTCCTTTTCCCTGGTGCAATCCGAGGGGAGATTCCCTCTGGGACGTGACCCAGCTCCTCGGGGCACAGGAGGATCCGTGGCTGCTGTTCCCTCACCTCCCTGCTCCTCCTCCCGCAGATGTGGACGAGTGCCAGGCCATCCCTGGCCTCTGCCAAGGTGGGAACTGCATCAACACCGTGGGATCCTACGAGTGCAAGTGCCCTGCTGGGCACAAGCAGAGCGAGACCAGCCACAGGTGTGAAGGTAAGGGAGGCTCCACGCCTGGGTTTGATGGGATTCTCCACTTCCCAGAGTCCCAGGAGTGTCTCAAGGCTGGGTTTTTCCACGGCAGAGTTGGGACAGAGCTCCCATTCCAGGCTGGATCCCGTTTCCCAGCCAGCCCTGCCAAAGGGGTTTTTAATCCACATCCCAAGGCCAGGAAATGAGGGATAGGCCTTGCCTGATCTCCTGGTCTTCCCTCAGAGCAGGAGGAAATGGTTTGGTTTGTTCCCAGAGGGGTTTTGTTAAGGATATTTTAATGGGAAGACGGGCTGATGGCACAGGAGGAGCCTCTGGAAGGCTTTAGCCAGGCTCAGCTCAGCACTGCCTCCAAAGCTCTGACGGGTTCTGAGCCCGATCGAGCCTTGAAATCTCAACAACTTTTAATTCTGAGGCTCTTCATTAGGGCTGTGAAGATTTAATCAGCGTGAAATGGGAAATCAGGCTGGCTGTGGGAGCTCAGGGAGAGCTCTGCCTGCCTCTGGAAGCCTCTGGAATCGGGACAGGGCGAGGTGGGATGAGATGATCTTTAGGGTCCTTCCAGAACATTCCAGAATTCTGTGCCCTGGCTTCAGCCCCTCAGGAAATCTTTCCCAGAGAGATACAGGAGGTCAATCCCTGCTGGGGGATGGACATTCCTTCATCCCCAGGAAACATCTGTGTCTGAGCATCTTCCTGATGTGTCTGAGCATGCCAGGAGACTTTCCCTAAAACCCTGACAGAATTCCTGCAGAGCTCCGACACCCGAGGAAAGCAGGAGAATCCAAACCAGCCCTTTTTTTGTGTCAGGTGAAGGAGCAGCTCCCCGAATCCAATGACATTCCAGGAATTTTCCTGGCCAAGGTGGGAGCAGGGGCAGCAGGAAGCTGCTCCTGCCTCTCCCACGCCGGCTGGGGAGCAGAGCACATCTGAAACCAGTTGGGCTGGAATCTCCTCCATCCCGGGATTAAACCAAATCCATTGTCTGGATCTGTCCTCCAGATGTGAGGGGCCTCCCACTTCCCCCAGTGCCTGGCCACAGACAGCTCCCCTTCCCTGTCCTGCCCACGAAGAGGGACAACTGCGGCATTCCCAGGAGCTGCTCCATGCCTGGGATCACCTCCAGCGCAGGATCCCTCTGGATCTGGGAGCGGCACAAACAGCGGGGATGCTCCAAAGGGACAGGCTCTGAGGGTCCTGCCCCAGCTGTGCCACCTGCAGGTCCCCACAGGGCCACCAGGAGCTGAGGAGGATCCCAGGAAAGTGGAATCACCTTTGGGATTCCCTGAAATGTTGTGGACGGGGGAATCGAGAGGGTTCCTCTCCCGCTTCATGGACACGAGAAGATTTGGGCCCCGAGCTCCCTGAAAACCTGAGTTTCCTGCAGCCTTTGATCCATCAGGAATTTGGTCCAGCAGATGGAGCATCAAATTCCTGAGCTTCACATTCCTGCTGGAACTGCCAAAATCTCTGCCTTGCCCCAAGCGCTGTCCTCGCCGAGCCCAGGGCTTTGATCAGAGGATGGATTTGTTATCCAGGAGTGCTCCAGGCTCCGAATCCCAGGATTCCTCCGCTGAGTTTTGGGATCATTTCCCAGCTGGGCCGAGGAGGGAATGCTCTGCTTCCCTCTCATTTTCACATTCCCCATCCCAGCCCGGCATCCAGGGAATATCAAAACCTCTTTGAACCTGTCTGGGAGGTTCTCCCGTTTTGTGCTGGGGGGTTCCCGGTGGGAACGCGCTGGAGCAGGAGGTCAGAGCTCATTAGCGATGTCCCCTCATTAACGCCGGCCCCTGGTGCGAGCAGAGATAGCGACGGTGCCTTCCTTATCTCCCGGCACAATCCTTATCTCTGGGCACAATCCTTATCATCTCCCGGCACAATCCTTATCATCTCCTGGCACAATCCTTATCTCCCGGCACAATCCTTATCATCTCCTGGCACAATCCTTATCATCTCCTGGCACAATCCTTATCTCTGGGCACAATCCTTATCATCTCCCGGCACAATCCTTATCTCTGGGCACAATCCTTATCTCTGGGCACAATCCTTATCATCTCCGGGCACAATCCTTATCATCTCCTGGCACAATCCTTATCATCTCCCGGCACAATCCTTATCATCTCCTGGCACAATCCTTATCATCTCCGGGCACAATCCTTATCATCTCCTGGCACAATCCTTATCATCTCCTGGCACAATCCTTATCTCTGGGCACAATCCTTATCATCTCTGGGCACAATCCTTATCATCTCCTGGCACAATCCTTATCATCTCCTGGCACAATCCTTATCTCTGGGCACAATCCTTATCTCCCGGCACAATCCTTATCTCCGGGCACAATCCTTATCATCTCCCGGCACAATCCTTATCATCTCCCGGCACAATCCTTATCTCCGGGCACAATCCTTATCATCTCCTGGCACAATCCTTATCTCCTGGCACAATCCTTATCTCCGGGCACAATCCTTATCATCTCCTGGCACAATCCTTATCTCCTGGCACAATCCTTATCTCCCGGCACAATCCTTATCTCTGGGCACAATCCTTATCATCTCCGGGCACAATCCTTATCATCTCCTGGCACAATCCTTATCTCCTGGCACAATCCTTATCTCCCGGCACAATCCTTATCATCTCCCGGCACAATCCTTATCATCTCCCGGCACAATCCTTATCATCTCCCGGCACAATCCTTATCTCTCGGCACAATCCTTATCATCTCCCGGCACAATCCTTATCATCTCCTGGCACAATCCTTATCTCCCCACGCCTGGAATTGCGTCCCCGGAGGATGAAGGCGCTTTTCCATCTCCAGATATTCCCGGCTGATCCCGGAGGCCGCTGGATATTCCCGGGATGGATTCTCCAATCCTTTTCCTCTCCGGGAATCTCCAGCCTGGGTTTGCTGGAGCCTCCTCCCGGCTCATCCCGGATGGATGGGACGCTTCCAGAGGGTTCTCCTGTCCTTCCATTTTATCCCAAAGAGCTCCAGGGAGGATGGGGATTCCTCCTGCTCCCCTGGGAGGGATCCGAGCAGGAATAGGATCAGGGATGTGCTGGATTTCGGGAGGGGAGGGGTCGGGCTGCTCCCAAAAAAACCTCTGGAGAAGTCAGCTTGGGAAGCACCGAAAATTTAATTTATATTGTGCAAAAAGATGAAGAAAGAGGGCAGGAACAGCCAGGTTAGGGATGAATTAAGCGATCCCACGCCTGGATTGCGGCGGAAGAAAGGAAACAAAGCAGGATCCGCTGAGGTTTTAAGGGAATGAGAGCCTGGGGAGAAGGGAAGGTTTGGATCCAGCCGAGCTCCGAACGCCGCGGGAGGAAAATTGTTGAGGACACAAGAAAATTCCTGGTGCAAAGTGGAGAGAGGGAACATCAAAGCTGCACTCGGACACATCCTGCTGCTCCAGAGACCTGGATCCATAAATCACAGCCAAGGGGAAGGGCTGTGGCATTTTAAAATTCTCCTGGAAGCCACCGGAAAAATGACACCGAAGGGAACAATTCCGTGGTGTGGAGTTAAGGGGGAATCACTGGCTGGACAAAGCTTTTCCTGCCGTAATTCCAGGGTTTCTCTGCCAAGAATTTCACTTTTTAACAGCCCTTCCTGAGCTGCAGGACAAAGGCCAAGCTCTGCTATCAGTGAGGTAATGCCGGTGCCTCCTCCAGGATGCTTCCCAAAGGAATGTGTCCTGCTTCCAAAAGCCATCCAGGGTGATAAGAGATAAGAAAACCATGGAGAGACACCAGGAAAGGGAGTGGAAGGCTCCAGACCAGCTGTGTGCAGCAGCCTCAGCCAGGATTTGCCCGTTTTTGGCCTCTCCAGGACATTCTGCCAGAGGGAACAAATCCTGGGGTTCCAAATCCCACCTCTTTTCCTCACCCCTTTAGATGTGAGGAGCTCCCCACAGGCCAGGCTTTTGTCACCAGGGCACGAAATCCTGAATTTCCTGATGCTCCTGCACCAGAGGGAGCTTCCCAGAGTTTTCCACGGGCGGATGGAACCCCACAACCACTTTCTTTCCATTTCCTCACAAAACCCCTCTGAGGAGCTGGTTGTTTGGCTCCATCCCGAGCTCATTTCCCTGGATTTGGGTGGTTTGGAGGTTCCATTCCCCCCTCTGTGGTTCCTTTCTGGGAGGGGAGGGCAGTGAGTCCCCGGTGCTGCACCGAGGGACCCCAAGGCACGGCCCCTGGGGGTGTTTCCTCCATCAAATCCAGGGTTTTTAGCACATGGAGAACTTGGGGTTCCCACAGCTCTGCAGCTCCGGCTCTTCCAGAGGCTCTGCTGCCTTTGGCTTTTCCAGCTTTTTCAGCCTTAAGGATGAGGCCAATTCCAGCCCCAGCCCGGCTCCAAAATCAACGTTTGCCTTGAATCCTGCCATTGTCTGAGCAGCAGAGCACAGGATCCTGCTTTCATTCTGAACAGAAGGCTGGAAAAGTCGGGAAGGAGCCAGGCTGGGGCTGGCAGGGTTCCCTCCCCGGCGCTGGTGTTAATGAGAGGGGAATGAACCCGTCCCACTGGGTCAGCTCTGCCTGAGCGGCTCCAAACCACCACGGGACGCTCACAGAGGGAAAACACAGAGGGAAAATGCGGTGGGGAAGAACTGGAAGGACAACAAAGCCCAGGGCTCAGGTTCCTGAGGCACAGGATGTGGAGTCCTGGAGGAACGGGCTCTTCTCCTGCTCCCCTGAGCTGGGGTTTTCACAGAGGGGGGAAAAAGAGCTCTTGGATTCCCTGGTTTTCCATGGGAATGGGATCCCCTGCTGCCCCTGCTGCTGCCTGGGGCTGAGTGAGGGGTGTCAGAGGCACAGATCTGCCCCCAGGGCTCGGGTCCTCCCCAGAGCCACACCAAGTTTTGGGTGGTTCTGGGTTTTTTCCCCAATGGAGAGACTTTGCCTTCCTAAAGCTCTTTTCCTTCCAGAGCTCCGGGGCTTGCAGGGCAGGGCAGGGATGGAATGACAGGGCAGCCTGGCTGATAAAATCTCTTTTTGGCTGCAGGGGCCCGGGTGGGGGAGGCATTTTCTGGTGTTTTCTGTGTTCTGCTCTGCTGCCCTGGCAGCTCTCAGGGCTTTTCTGACGGAGGGACTCGGAGCATCAAAGAGCCAGAGCAGCACCGGGGGCTCGGGGGACACCTCAGGGGGCAGAATCCCACAGTCCTAAAGAGCCAAGCAGGAATTTGTCTTCCCCTCTTTGACTGGAATAGAATCCCAGAACGGAATTGTGGAATATCCTGGGCTGGGAGGGGCCCACAGGGACCCATGAGCCACCCCCATGGCACTGAGAGCCACACCTGGGCTTTCCTTGGGCACCTCCAAACCTCCCTTTCCAGTGTCCAGTCCCTCTCTCTGGGAAGGATTTCTCCACAGATTCACAGAATTCACAGAATGGAAGAGATCTCCCAGCCCACCGAGTCCAGCCCAGCCCAAACACCTCAGCTAGGCCACGGCACCGCGTGCCACATCCAGACTTTCCTTAATCACACCCAGGGATGTGCTGGACTCCATTCCAGCACTTTCCTTGGGTGTCCAGCCCAAACCTCCGCTGGCAGCAGCCGTGGAGAGAAGCAGAGCCCCCACAAACCCCTCTGGGAGAGTTTGGGAGACCTTTCCTGGCCTCCAGCACCCCCTGACTGCCCACAGCCCCGGCTGCTGCTGTGTGCCCGGGTTTGGTGGGGAAGGGGACATTTGGACACGGGTTTGGTGGGGAAGGGGACCTTTGGACATGGGTTTGGTGAGGAAGGGGACCTTTGGCACCCTCCCAGCGCTGTGTGCCCAGGTTTGGTTGGGATGGGGACATTTGGCACCCTCCCAGTGCGGTTCTGTGCCCTGCAGACGTGGACGAGTGCGGGGCCATGCCCGGCGTGTGCGACGGCGGCGACTGCACCAACACCGTGGGCAGCTACGTGTGCTCCTGCCCCCGCGGCTTCGCCAGCAGCCCCGACGGCTCCCGCTGCCTCGGTGAGGGAAAAACGGGATCCGGGATCCGGGCTGGGAACGTCCACAGAGGCGGCTGGGGGTGGATACTGGGAGAAATGTTCTGTTCTGCTCCATCCTGCTCCATCCTCCCTCTCCAGAATCTGGGCTGTGAATTTGCTCTGAGAATCCGTTTTCCTCCAGGAAGATGAGGATGGGGAGGTTTGGGAAGAGGAGTTCTTACAGCACAGGCAGAGATTGGTGGTGCAGTGCAAAGTGGCAGGTGCAGCTTTCTGTGGAAACAAATACAGAAAAAAAAAAAAGAAAAATTCAGCTCCAAATTCTTTTCTAGCCACGGATCCTGGAGCAGGATTAAATGTTTTAGTTCCAGGAGGAAAAAAATGTTGTGAAGTGTGAGTAAAAAGTAAAGCCTGAGTCCTCTTGTTTGGGAAACTGATAGATTTTAATGGGAATGGAATTTTTTTCCTGCTGTTTCCCAGCCCCTGCCATGAGCCCAGAGGGGTGTGACAGCTCTGGGATGAGTCATGTGGACATTCCCCGCTTTCCTTGAAACCAAGAACTTCAAGAAATGAAAATAAATAAAATTAGAAAGCTCAGATTTAAAAATAGTCCTGAGCTGATTTAGCTGCAGTGGACTCAGACTCCACCTGAACTGGCTCGGGGTGCTCCAGCCTTTCCCTGAGCTCCCTTTTTGGGACAGGCAGGGTTTATTTTGGCAAAACCCACAGCTCCTGCTGGGGTGGGGCTGCCCTGGCACCCGAATTTCCCCAGCTCTGCTCGAGGGGACCTCGGGGCTCGTTTGGGGAGTTTGGGGTTCCAGGTTTCCATCCCATGGAAGGAAGCGAGGGAAAACGGAGGATGGATAAATAATGTGGGCACTGTCAAAGCAGGGCCAGCAGCAGGAGAGGGGAGATTGTCACCCTGGAGGTGACCTCAGTGCCTCAGGAGAAGGCAGCTGGCCGTTCCCCTCCCTCCCTACACCTTTTTTACCGCAACCATCTCCTGTAGTTTTTACACCTGGAGCAGCAGCACCCCGAGCTGGAGCCCATCCCCAGGGCCAGGAGCTGCTCCCAGCACCTGCCCCAGCACAACCCCAGCAGGAGAAAACCCCATCCCAGCCCAGAGGAACATTCTGGAGCCGTTCAGGCACCTGGGCTGGCCACCAGAGCCCGGTCCCACCCTGGGCCACCGCAGCCTCCTTCACTCCTCGTGCTGGGGGCTCCCTGCACTTCCCTTGGTACAAAGGGCTCCTCTTCCAGAGCAGCTTAAAAGAACCATTTCTAATGAAGAAAAATGGCTTTTTGGTGCATTCCCAGACGAGCACACGGTGTTCCTGCCCTCCCTCCTGAGACTCAGCGCTCCTGCTCTGGCCTTTCCCAGATTTTACCCTGAGAGCGCAGCAAAGCTCGGAGGGATTTGGGTTGTGCCTCTCCTCGGGCAGAGTCAGAGCTCCCAGTCCTGGGTCCTGCTGAGCCCTGGGCTCAGGGAGGGCTGGGAGGGTCTCACCGAGGCCTTGGCCTGCCTGGGGGGCCCTGGTTTGATCCACTTTGGGCTCAGCAAGAGGAAAAAGGAAACGTGAGGCTCCTGGAACCATGGAGAGGGTCGGGAGGGGTCTCAGGGGGTGCCCAGGACATCTCCCACCAGCCCAGTTCTGTGGGATCAGCTGTGCTGGATAATCTCTCCTGCTTCTCCTGGGATCAGGACAATTCCCATGGGGTGGGTGCAGGCCCTGCCAGACCCCCAGGTCCCTCCTGGGATGGCTCCTGTCCCCTCAGGATGAGCAGGACCCACTCCCCCTCCTGCTCTGCCATCCTGACCTTGTCACCCCCCAGAGCTCAGTCCCCACCTCTGAGCTCCCTAATCCCATCTGGAATTTCCCCTCCCCTCTCTCCTGCAGCATTTTCTGCTTTTCTGGGGTTTTGTACAAACTGGGACCCCACACTTCTCCTCTCCTTTCTCAGGATTGGGAGCTGATCCACTTTTGCATTCAATCCCTGCTTTCAAATCCCCCCTTCTGCAGCTCTGACTTTCTCTCTGCTGCTGTTTTCAGTGGCTAAACTTTCCCAAAAGGAGCAATTCCCTGGGAATGCAGCTCTGAGCAGGGCTGGGGGTGCTGAGGAGGGACCTGCTGGTCTGAACTGGGGTCAGCATCCCCTGCGGGTGCCCGAGCTGTGCTGGGAGCAGAGGGGCACCCACAGCCCGCAGATCAAACATTCCCAGGCAATTAATTCCAATTACATTCCCGGGAAGTGGCAGCCACGTCCCGGGAGACTTTCCCCCTCATTAATTGACTTGAGAAAAAACAAGGTGGGAGATGACCGAGGGGAAGATTCCAGGTTTTCCTGGAGGGATTGGTGCCAGCTGGAGCCTGCTGGATGTGAGAGACCCTCAGTCCCCTGGGCCTTGGCCAGGAGCCACAAACCCCCCAGCAGGGCCAGGGCTGGGGTCAGGGGGGTCAGACTGGGACAGGGGATGGCCGGGAGAGATTCCATCGGGAATGGGCCCTCAGGAGCTGGCTGAGAGGTGGTGGTGGCACACTGTGACCATGTGTCTTCTCCCTGTCCCTGTCCCTGTCCCTGTCCCATCCCCACCCTGTCCCTGTCCCTGTCCCCCCAGACCAGCGCCTGGGGACGTGTTTCTCGGCTCTGCTGGGTGGTCGCTGTGCCGGGGACGTGCCGGGCCAGGCCAGCAGGATGCAGTGCTGCTGTGACTCAGGACGCTGCTGGGCCATCGGCCAGACCCCCGAGATGTGCCCTGTGAGGGGCTCAGGTCAGTGACACCCCGGGACCCCCAAAGCCAGCATCCTAAACCTGTGGGTGCTGTCAAACAAGGCTGGGAGAGCTCCCCAAGAGCACCAAACCCTGTCCCCAAGTGCCACATCCCCATGGCTTTAAAACCCCTTTGGGGTTTGGCTCCTTTGCCAAAGCCACCATTTCCACGGGGAATTTTCTCCCTGGTAATCAGCCTAACCCTCCCCTGGCACAGCTTGAGGCCGCTCCCTCTTGTCCCTCTGTGTCACCTGGGGAAAACACGGCCCCATCACCTGGGCCAGCTGCTCCTCCTCCCTGTGCCTCACCTGAGGCCAGCACTGGTCCCTGTCCTGCTCCTGCTCCTGTCCCTGGCTCCCAGCACAGCTGGACCTTGGGGCGAGCCCCGGCAGGAGGAGCCGAGGGATGGAGCCGGTCCCTGTGCATCGCCTGTCCCCGGAGCTGCAGCACCTCCCGTGTCCCTCCCTGCCTGCAGGGACACAAAAATCCTCTCCAGACCCCTGTGCCCCGCCGTGTGCTGTGGGGTGGGGGCGTTCAATCCCTCCCTGCACCGTCCCCATCATTTCCCATTTCCCATCATCTCCCATTTCCCATCATTTCCCATTTCCCATTTCCCATCATTTCCCATTTCCCATCATTTCCCATTTCCCATTTCCCATCATTTCCCATTTCCCATTTCCCATTTCCCATTTCCCATCATTTCCCATCATTTCCCATTTCCCATTTCCCATCATCTCCCATTTCCCATTTCCCATCATTTCCCATTTCCCATTTCCCATTTCCCATTTCCCATTCCAACGCTGCCTTTGCTCCGTGCCCGTCCCTCTGCTCGCTGCTGGAAAATCCCTGTTTTGTTCCAGACGAGTACCGCAGGCTGTGCATCGAGGGACTCCCGGTGGTGCCAGGCTTCCCCGGGAACTTCCCGGGAATTCCTGGATTCGGGCCCAACGGGGTCGGGCCGGGACTCAACGGGCCCGGGGGCATCGGCCCGAACGGGGCGAACGGCCAGGGCGGGATCCCGGGGCTGCCCGGGATGGGCCCGGGCAGCTCCAGCATCGGTAATTCCCGGCTTTGTCCCGTTCCACGGTTCTGGGAGCAGGACGTGTTCCCCAGGCCTGGAATGGCACATCCCTGGATGTGCTGGCTCGGGGCAGAGCTGGGATGTGGCAGGAGCTGAGCCCGCGCACAGATCCAGCTCCCTGATTCCCAAACGCTCCAAGCAGGAGCTTTCCCATCATCATCATCCTCCCTTCCTGGGTTTGCTCCCCACCTTGGGCTCCCCCCAGGGGCTCCCCAACCCTCCCTGTGCCCCCAGGAACGGCCACGCTGAACCAGACCATCGACATCTGCAAACACTTCACCAACCTGTGCCTGAACGGGCGCTGCATCCCCACCCCGTCCAGCTACCGCTGCGAGTGCAACATGGGCTACAAGCAGGACGTCCGTGGCGAGTGCATCGGTGAGTGGGGGCTGCTCCCACAGCTTCCCCAGGCTGCTCTTCCCGTTCCTGGCCTTTGCTGTGCCTCAGGGTCCCTCACAGGGGGGCTTTTCCCCCCCTGGCAGATGTGGACGAGTGCTCGAGCAGCCCCTGCGTCCACGGCGACTGCGTCAACACGCCGGGCTCCTACCACTGCAAGTGCCACGAGGGCTTCCAGAGCACCCCCACCAAGCAGGCCTGCATTGGTAAGGGCTGTCCCCGCTCCTGGGGGGCTGCGGGGGTGGCAGAGGGGTCAGCAGAGCCCCTGGAGCCAGAGAAGTGTTGTGGGGGTGAGATGCAGTGAGGAGCCCCCGGGTGTGGGATGGGATCCGTCCAGGAGAAGTTTCCTCTGCCTTGGCTTTCCTTCAAGTTTTGTGGTGGCAATCAAGGGACCTGCAGAGTCCTCCCCAAGAGCAGAACTCTGTTGGGAGAGCTGGGTTGGAGAGCAGGGGGATTCTGGTGTGGATGCAGGATTTCCCCCAAGGCTGCTCTGCCAAGAGGCTGCAGCAGGTGAGGGACTGCCGGAAAGGAGGGATGGGAAGGGAATGTCCCACCATGGGAACAAGCAAAGGCTTTTTCCATTTCCATGGCAGTGCCCAAGCTTGGAAATTTTTATTTTCTCCCTTCCTGACAAAGTGTCTCCCAAAGCCTGGCAACGTGGGAAGATCCCGATTTTCCAAGTGGGATTTTTGAGGATGAATTCCTGGGTTTCTCACGGGGGGATGTTAACGTGGGGTGCTCCTGTCTCTCCCACACCCCGGTGATTCCCCTGCAGACATCGACGAGTGCATCATGAACGGGGTGATGTGCAGGAACGGGCGCTGCGTCAACACCGACGGCAGCTTCCAGTGCATCTGCAACGCCGGCTTCGAGATCACCCCCGACGGCAAGAACTGCGTGGGTGAGGCTCCAGCAGCTCGGGGCTGGGCTGGGATCGCCTCCTCCCGGGCCACTGACCCGGGGTATCCCCCAGGGACAGGGCTGCACTGGGTCGGTGTGTCCGGAGGGCTCCCGTGGGGTTTGGGGTGCAGGGGATGGGCAGGGCTGGGGCTGGAGGTGCTGCAGGACAGCTCTGACCAGGAAAGGTGACCCTGGCTTGGAGCTGATGCTTTGGGAGCTCCCACCCCAACCCCTCTCCCCCCTGCTTTGAGACCCAGCTGCCACCAGCACAGTTTGGGATGGGGCACGGGGGGGTTGGGGCACGGGAGGACCTCACTGCAGCTCTGGGGTCCTGTCTGCGCCCCCAGACCACGACGAGTGTGCCACCACCAACATGTGCCTCAACGGGATGTGCATCAATGAGGATGGGAGCTTCAAGTGCATCTGCAAACCCGGCTTTGTCCTGGCTCCCAACGGGCGCTACTGCGTGGGTGAGTGAATCCCACCGGGCTCGTCCCAATCCCAATCCCAATCCCAATCCCAATCCCAATCCCAATCCCAATCCCAATCCCTGCCCACATTCCTGCTCCCTTCGGAGGGCAAGGGGAGCTGAGAAATCCAGGGCTGCAGCCTGGCAGCCCCTGCTCTGCCGCCAGAAATTGTCCTTTTGTGGGAGAACGGGAAAAAGGGGAAAGGTTCGCATGTCCTGAGCCCCTGTCTGTGTGTCCTGAGCCCATCTGTGTGTCCTGAGCCTCTGTCTGTGTGTCCTGAGCCCATCTGTGTGTCCTGAGCCTTGTCCTGTGTCCTGAGCCCCTGTCTGTGTGTCCTGAGCCCCTGTCTGTGTGTCCTGAGCCCCTGTCTGTGTGTCCTGAGCCTCTCTCAGTGTGTCCTGAGCCCCTGTCTGTGTGTCCTGAGCCCCTGTCTGTGTGTCCTGAGCCCCTGCCCATGTTTTCTGCGCCCTGTTCATGTGTCCCACCCCTCTCCCCGCGTGTCCCACCCCTCTCCCCGCGTGTCCCTCTCCCCGAGGTCACCCCACTGCCGTTCCGTGCGCAGACATCGATGAGTGTGAGACCCCCGGGATCTGCATGAACGGCTGGTGCATCAACACGGAGGGCTCGTTCCGCTGCGAGTGCCTGGGGGGGCTGGCGATCGGCGTGGACGGCCGGGTGTGTGTGGACACCCACATGCGCAGCACCTGCTACGGGGGCATCAAAAAGGGCACCTGCGCCCGTCCCTTCCCCGGCGCCGTCACCAAATCCGAGTGCTGCTGTGCCAACCCCGACCACGGCTTCGGGGAGCCCTGCCAGCCCTGCCCGGCCAAGAACTCCGGTGAGCCCATCCCTGGCTGCCCGGGAAGGTGCCCAGGGGTGTCCCGGGATGGGTTGGGCAGCTTGGAGAACCTGGAATGGGGAAAGGGGCACCAGGAAAATGGGGAGCGGATGCTCAAATCTGGTGCTGGGGTGTTGGAAGTGGGAGTATCAGCGTTAAAGTGAGCAAAGTCACAGCAGCAAGGCTGGGAGAGCTCCGGGAGAGTTTGGACAATGCACAGGGTGGGATTGTTGGGGTGTCTGCGCAGGGCTGGGTGGTCCTGGGGGTCCCTCCCAACCCAGCTCGTTCTGTGACTGTGTTGTGTGAGCATAAACAGAGCCAGAGCTGCCAAACAGAGAATTAAACCCTCAGTTTAACTTTTAGAATGGAGCTAAGCTCAGTGAATCTCACTGTGGGCAGTTCCTGCCACGCTCACGGCTCTGCTGTGCTCTGTCCCCAGCGGAATTCCAGGCTCTCTGCAGCAGCGGCATCGGGATCACGGCTGATGGCAGAGGTGGGTGCAGGGTTCCTCAGGGACCTGCAGGGTTCCTCAGGGATGTTCAGGGTTCCTCAGGGACCTGCAGGGTTCCTCAGGGATGTTCAGGATTCCTCAGGGACCTGCAGGATTCCTCAGGGATGTTCAGGGTTCCTCAGGGATGTTCAGGATTCCTCAGGGACCTGCAGGGTTCCTCAGGGACCTCCAGGATTCCTCAGGGATGTTCAGAATTCCTCAGGGATGTTCAGGATTCCTCAGGAATGTTCAGGATTCCTCAGGGACCTGCAGGGTTCCTCAGGGATGTTCAGGATTCCTCAGGGATGTTCAGGGTTCCTCAGGGATGTTCAGGGTTCCTCAGAGATCTGCAGGATTCCTCAGAGATCTGCAGGGTTCCTCAGGGATGTTCAGAATTCCTCAGGGACCTGCAGGATTCCTCAGGGATGTTCAGGGTTCCTCAGGGACCTGCAGGATTCCTCAGGGATGTTCAGGATTCCTCAGGGATGTTCAGAATTCCTCAGGGATGTTCAGAATTCCTCAGGGACCTGCAGGGTTCCACAGGCACATCCCACAGCACCCTCAGCTGCTTTTCCTGGAGCAGGGATGGGTGTGTGGGAGCTGTGCCAGCAGAGGCTGGGCTCTGCTCCCTGCTGTGATGGGAATGAGCAGCGGGACCCTGCTGGTTCTTTCCCTGCTCCGCTCTCCAGCTCCTCCGTGGGGTGTCCGGGCACAGGGAGGTGACAAACCGGGCTGCTCTGAGCTCCGGGAGGTGCCAGTGGCAGCCCTGGGCAGCGCCTGGAGATCAGGGAGAGCAGGGAGCAGCCAGGCAGGCACGGCCGTGCCAAGCCTCCCGGATGGGAAGCAGCCAGAGGAGAAGCCCCGGTGGCTCCTGGGGCTCCCATCCAGGGCTCCGTGTCCTGGAGCCGTCCCATGGCAATGATGGGACTCTCCAGCAAGGCCGTGCTCTGGTCATTCCATCCCTGGAGCCAGGGCTGCTCTCAGAGCTCTCCAGGCTGCGTTTCCCTGGATGGAGCTGAGCTCCAGGAGCGTGGGGACGAAGGCCAGCAGTGCCTGGGCAGCCGTGGCCACCTGGCTCTGCGGGGAGCCTGCGGTGCCAGCGAGGCTGGGGCTTGCCAGGGTGAAATCAGGGATGCTCCTGCAGGGGAGGGACGGTGCCCACCCGGCTGCCACCTCTGGGTCACTCAGTGCTGAATCCAGGGGTTACTGACGGGCCTGAGCTCGGCATAAAGAATCTGGGATGTCACACAAGGACCTGAGAGCCCTTGGCATGAAACTGGGCTCATCCCAGCCCCTCATCCAGCTCTCTCCTCCTGAGCTCAGCCCCGGGCTGGGTCAGGACAGGGAGAAGCTGTGGCTGCCCCAGCCCTGGACGTGTCCAAGGCCAGGCTGGACAGGGCTTGGGGCAGCCTGGCATGGTGGAATGGAATGAGATGGGCTCTAAGGCCAAATTCCCACCCAAACCCTTCCGGACTCCACGATTCCTGCAGTGAGGACCCAGGAGGTGGAAGGTCTGGTCTTTGCATTTGCTGGGCTCCATCCCACGTGCCTCTTTTCCCTGTCAGACATCAACGAGTGCGCCCTGAACCCCGACATCTGCCCCAACGGGATGTGTGAGAACCTGCGGGGCAGCTACCGCTGCATCTGCAACCTGGGCTACGAGTCCGACCCCACGGGCAAGAACTGCGTGGGTGAGTCAGGGGCTGGACCTGGGGCTGCAGGGGATGCAGGGGTGCAGGGGATGCAGGGGATGCAGGGGACTCGAGGAGTTCCTGGAGAGGGAAGAGCAGGGGCAGCTCTGCTTTCTGCTCTGGGACAGGACCCGGGGAGGGCTGGAGCTGGGCCGGGGTTTGGGATGGAGCTCAGGGAACGCTTTTGTCCCCGAGGGATTCCCGCAGGGACGGTCCCGGCCGGGACAGCGCTCTGGGGTTGTTGGGGGTCTGTGCAGGGGCTGGGCTGGATCAGGGGGTCCCTCCTGGGATGCTGTGGGGGCAGTTAACCCTTCCCAGCCCGAAGCAGCTCACGGCTGCCGCGTCTGTCCCCAGATGTGGACGAGTGCAGCGTCAATCGGCTGCTGTGTGACAACGGGCTGTGCAGGAACACCCCCGGCAGCTACACCTGCACCTGCCCCAAGGGCTTCGTGTTCCGCACCGAGACCGACACCTGCGAAGGTACCGGGGCTGGCAGAGCTCCTGCCTGGGGCAGCTCCCTGCTCCCTCCCCGCCGCCGCACCCCGGGCACCTGGCGGCTCCCCCGTGGATCCAGGGATGGCTCACACCGGCTTCAAAGCACTGGGCACCTGACCCCGAAACATCTCAGCCTGCAAACCAGAGCAATTTCCTCCAGGGCCACAAAACTGCCGCTTGAGGCCTGACCAAAATTGCAAGGCTTGGGGAATTTGATTGAAAGGCTGTGATTTGGAGGGGCAGAAATGGTTTCCTGTGCACACAGGCCTCAAATATTTGAGAGCTGGCGCTTTGCACCCAAGTGCCCCAACCACCCTCAATCCAAGTGTTTTTAAATCTTCCATTTTTAATACTGTTATTAGACTTCTCTATATAACATGCTTATATCACAAGATATTTCTGTATTACGTATTTTATATATATTTATATATTTATATATATTTATATATTTATATGTATTTATATATTTATAGACATATTTGTAGATATATATAAATATATTTATATATTTATATGTATTTATATGTATTTATATATTTATATATTTATAGATATATTTATAGATATATTTATAGATAGATTTATATATTTATATATTTATATATAAATATATTTATATATTTATATGTATTTATATGTATTTATATATTTATAGATATATTTATAGATGTATTTATATATATTTATAGATATATTTATAGATATATTTATATATTTATATATTTATTATATATTTATATATTTACATACTTAAATATATTTATATATATTTTATAAATATCTATATATTTTTATATATTTTTATATATTTTTATATTTTATATTTTTGTATATATTTATATATTTATATATTTATATATTTATATATTTATATATAATAGATTTTAACATATCTTAAATTTTATTATTATATTTAAAACAATGTAAAAAACGATTTAAACCCACCACTCTTCACTCCCTGCGCTCTCACCTCCTCCAGTTTGTGTCCCCCAAGGCCGTGTCCCTGTCGCTCCCCGCAGTGACCTGTGTCCCCTCTGTCCCTGCTCCCCCCAGACATCAACGAGTGCACGTCCAACCCGTGTGTGAACGGGCTGTGCCGGAACAACGCCGGCTCCTTCGCCTGCGAGTGCTCCCCGGGCAGCAAACTGGACCCCAGCGGCACCATCTGTGTGGGTGAGCTCCATTCCTGCCAGCCCGGGCGGGATCCTGGGCAGGAATTCCTGGCTCTTGGTTCCCCAGAGCAGCCGTGGCTGTCCCTGCAGCCTGGGGTCAGGGGAGGTGGCACTGGCTGGGTTCTGGGGACCAGCCCGTACGGATGCTAGCTTTGGAACAGGCTGCAGAGAGCTGCAGAGACTGCAGGCCCATGGCCTCTCAGTCCTGCCTGAGAAGCTAGCCTGGGAATTCAAAGGAGGATTTCAAAACAATCCTCAGAGACAGAAAACAACTGCCAGGTGTTGTTTATCTGTCCTCTTGTTTACCTTGCAAGAGAGGGTCAGGGGGGTAGAGTGCCCCTGACCAATGATGGTGATGTAGCACTTTGCTAACCAATAAGAGTTTCTTTTCTGTACTTTCCACGTATCTGTCTATAAGACAAGCTTGAAGCAATAAACTGAGAATTCTCCTGTTGAGACTCCCTTGAGAGTCCAGTGTCGCTCTTTATCGCCGTTCCCAATCGGAACGACAAGCCCGGGTTGTGGGAGCGGCCTTGGCCGCACATCCCGAGGGATCAGTGAGTGCCAGGGCAGGGATCCAGGGCTCTGAGCCGCCGCTGTGTCCCTGCAGACAGCATGAAGGGCACCTGCTGGCTCAACATCCAGGACGGGCGCTGCGAGGTGAACATCAACGGGGCCACGCTGAAATCCGAGTGCTGTGCCACGCTGGGGGCAGCCTGGGGCAGCCCCTGCGAGCGCTGCGAGATCGGTGAGCTTCTGCTGGCTCCGGCATTCCCAGGAAATGCTGGAGAGGAGATCGGGAACGGGGAAAAACCCCCACGGGGTGCTCGGGCACTGACGACGCTCCCAGGGACGGGGTGGGTTGGTGGGGTGTTG